CACGCCGTTCGAGAGAGAACAAAAGTTCTACTCTGAAAGTTGTTCTAACACAGCATCTCTGCAAGCCCCCTTTTTCGTGCAAGCAAAGCTCGCACTAAACCTGTAGAACAAATATGCGAAGGTCCGGGGCTGCAAGAGCTGCTGCGCCAACAATGTGCTACAAACGCGTACGCAACCGAAGCTAAGCAGCTAACCGCTAGCGGTAGCCGCACAAGCTGCAAGCATCCTTTACGGGTATCCGGTCCTTTTGGCAAGCCATGGCGCACAAGAGCTGCTGCGCCAACAAAGTCGGTCCATTTGGCAGCTTCAATGCCCTCGGTAAAAGGGCAATATCGCGGCTCCGTGAAATGGAAGGTTGGCCAAAACTATCTCTAGCGGCTGCGCCCTTTGCCAAGTTGTGCTACCGGCTTAGCAGGCCAACCTACGGTAAATCGCGTACGCGATAAACGCGGTTGCGCAAGGCGCCAACGGCGTAACGGTTCATCTGCTATGCAGGTTGTAACGCTTTTTCTGAATTAGTAAGCATATATTTTATGAAAATATATACACCTTTAGAACAATTTTCTATTATCTCTTTAGTTCCGTTACATTTTGGCAACTTATATTTGTCTTTTACAAACTCTTCATTATTTCTTCTTTTGACTACTGGGCTTTTATATATCTTGTTCAACATGGTAACAAAGGGAGGAGGATACCTTATACCTTCTCCTTGGCAGTCTTTTGTTGAAATGATATATGAATTTGTTGTAAGTCTGGTAGATGAACAGATTGGATCTCAAGGTCAAAAAGACTTTCCACTCATCTTTACAATTCAAGTGTTTTTATTGTTTACTAATATAATTGGAATGGTACCATACAGTTTTACTGCTACTAGTCATTTAATAGTTACTTTTGGCCTCTCTCTATCACTTTTTATAGGAAGAACTATCTACGGATTCCAAACACATGGTCTTCATTTATTTAGTTATTTATTGCCGAAAGGGGCTCCTTTGGCCCTGGCTCCATTGTTAGTAGTTTTAGAGCTCGTATCCTACTGTTTTCGAGCTGTTAGCTTAGGGGTCCGATTATTTGCGAACATGATGGCTGGACACACAGTAGTTCAAATTTTAAGTGGCTTTGCATGGACCATGCTTTCTATTGGTGGTATATTAACAATAGCTTCCACGATACCTTTTGGGATTGTTTTCGCCTTGACAGGTTTAGAGATCGGTGTTGCTTGCTTACAAGCATACGTGTTTACAATATTGACTTGCATTTCTCTTAATGATGCTATAACCCTTCACTAATTAGCAAGTCTTGTGCTGCAAGCAGGTTGGTGCTTGTAGCAAGCAAACCCGTAACCGAAACTAAGCTTACCAGCGAAGCTGGTTGACGCTAGCCAGCAAGCGGAGCTTGCTGCAAGCTAACCGCTAGCGGTAGCGGGCAACCGCCCTGTGGGCCCGGCTATACCAGCAGCGATATGGCCTGCCAACCGTAGCTTGGCCAACGATACCAGCCAAGCTGGCCTCCGCTACCGCTAGCGGTTAGCGGTCTGCTGTTTGCAGCTTGTGCGCAAGCTCAGCTTGTGCGCAATGGCTTGCCAAAAACTTGGCGCAGCAGCTCTTGCCTACGGCCTGCCAACCTACGCTTGGCCAAGCCGTAGGCCCCGTTCGGTTTGTTGTCGGCCAGCTACGCTGGCAACAAAAGGGCCTCCGCTAGCGTTGTTGCCGAAGCCTTCGGCCAAAGGTTGTTCTTGTTTTTGGCCAAGCTACGGCCAACAACTACGCCTCCGCGGCGCGGCCTAGCTAGCAGTTGTTGGCCGCGCAAAAACAAGAATCGATTGGTCTGCAACCGCGTACGCAACCTGCGGAACAGGTAGCACAAACTCCTCCAATCTGCTTCCCCCCCCAACTTTTCAGCAAGCCTTGCCAAAAGGGGAAGCGGGGCTGCAAGTACCAACCTGCGTCGCAGCTAGCGGCGCGCTTCCCAAAAGTTGGCCTGCAAGCACTGCCAGCTACGCTGGCCAACAAGCCATTGCGCTTACCGCTACGTGGTAAGCTGTAGGCAAGCACTCTTAAGATAAACGTTTTTCGATAAAGCATTTTCAGTAAGAAATGAAAAGATTGTCTTTAACAAAACAACCCCTTTTTTGTGTAA